AACAGCATTAACCCTGATTAACCCTAACTAAACCTTAGTTGTCCTACTGGGATTTTGCTAACATTTGCTCATTGGCGTCCATCAGCCAAAGCTGAAAAGTTATTTTATTTCATTTAGCTTACTAAGTGAAACACTCTATACAGATTAATTAAGCACAAACTGATGTTTTCAAGCACTTATTTCTGTTTATTCTAATTTTTATCTGCTCACAGCAAATTAAAATACACCTATTTGTATTTTTGTTGAATGTTATAAATTACAAACAAGTGAATAGTAATGCCACAAATAGTAAAAGTTTAAAGGAGTGAGTAGAAGTATCAACTTATTAAAGTCATTCTCCATCTTCATCTCTTCCATTTTTTAGCACATTCATGAAATAGCAAGATTACTCTCTACAGAATTTAAAGGGAAGTATTATGTAAAATTATGCCCTCTTCTGCCACTCAGCTCCTTCAGACTAGCCAGCAGCAATTAGCAAACACCTGGAGGAACTGAGAATCAGCTGAGCTCATTATAGGGGCTACTTTTCAAAGCAATGCTGGTAAAAATGTTGTTTAAAGGGTTAATAGAGGAGTGATGATGTGATGACTTCCTGAAGGCGGAGTTTCAGAACGAGCATAAGCTTCTTAAAGAGACAGAGGCCCTTTAAGAGGTCTTAAAGGGCCTTACCTTTAGTGTTACCTTCACTAACAATGTTACTGAAGGTAACATTGTTACTTGATTGTGCTGTAAATTACATGGTACTACCCCTTTAAGATCTTTAGGGAAATTCCTGCTATTCTTTGGAAAACTGCTGTCAGTACTGTGAGACCTTTCCTTTCCATTATCTGACTCTTTAGTGGATACAGTTTCTGAAACGGGGTGTACTCCCTTCATCTTCTTATCACCATGGCTACCGTTCAACACACATCTGGTCAGCGGGTAGAGGCCTTTCCCCGAGGCTAGTCATTAGTGCCAAACATGGGGATTGGCTCATTTGATCAGATTTCTCTTTCGCCATCTAACGATGCTCTGCCCCGCGTATTCACCAGAACATCCGTGATCTTCTCTCGCCTGGCGAGCCTTCTTCGTTTTCACGCAAATGAAATAACGACACAGTGGAACTGCTTAGATTGCAGGACAGTTAAGTGTCTTTGGACTTTGCCTCAGGAAGAGCCAATTACAAGGTTAAGATTTGTTGATTGTGTAGAAAAAGACTCAGCGATTTTTTGGAGGGGCTGTTTTCTTTTTGCTTGTTGCCACTTTTGTGGAACGAGAAACAGATTTGCTGGGGAACACAGAGCTTTCTAATGAACAGTTACATTTCCTGCAGAGAATCAGAGGCGTATGAGAGTGTTGGGCATGTATCCTGTATACTCTGGCTCACATTTTATTGATCAATCGCCTTGGACTTCCTGACCCCTTTTAGCACTGTCGTTCAAGCGGCTCATTCTCACCCAAACTTCCCCCCTCTCCCCAACCCCTCCTCCCTCTTTGCGCTGATTGAATGTCAGCACTAAGGTCGTGTAACGCAGTTCTGCTCAACTCACCAAGGCGGCATATCTTGGAAGTATTTCATATTTTTAATTTCCTGCCAGCGTTATGCACACTGACTCCACAGCAATGGCGTTGGAACGGACTCAGACGCAGCACAGCCATGCCAAACCGCCACCAGGCATGAAATAGCACTGATGAGATGAGAAAAAACAAATTGCTCAAGTGACTTTTCCATCTTCCTTGACATGAAACTAATGATGAAAATGATTCTAGCTGCGGAAAAAACACACACAAAAAAACAACTGTAAAAAGGACAAAAAAAAATTTGGTTTGTTTTTTTTTTTTTTTTTTTTTTTTTTTTTTTTTTTATGTGGTTGCTCAGCATTTATACCGTGCTTTACGAAAATAAACCTTGAACCTTGTCATATTCTGTGTTCCATGTATTTTTAGTGGGATATTTGAGTGTGTGTGATACAGCAACACAAGCTAGCACACAAATGAATTTGAATGAAAATTATTTTCAAAACATATAAAAAAGTCTGGAATTTATTTATATTCACCCCAATCTGATTATTTGCAATAAAGTCCCAACTACTTTCAGAAATTACTGAATTCGCAGAGTTAATCTTTTTTATAGTATACTACTAACTTAAAGCTGCAGTTGGCAACTTTTACAAAAATATATTTTTGCCATATTTGTTAAAACTGTCATGTCGCTATGGGACAGCTAATCTGTGAAAACACTGACCTCCTCCACCTCCTACCTGAGCTGGTACCTTGTAATGTTCAGCTGTTTAGTTTGATTGGACTAAATGCTACAGAGGCTTGTTGTTCACAAGTGTTAAAAACGAATCTTTGCTGTGAGAGTTACTTTCCAAGACAGCTAATTCATTTCTGTTAGCAAATCAGGTCATTTGTCATCCTTGAGAAGCTATCGAAAGGAAGAGAACAGCACAAAAACCCGAGGTGGATTTTTGTCCACCTCGGGTTTATTCATTTAAGACGCAACCAAATCTAGCAGATCTCAGTGGCATTTAAATTTACTGTATTGCTTCCCCCCCGTGATGAAACTTTGTGAGTAAATAGTGAGATGACTTTTAAGATGAGGTAACGTTCACCCATTGTTTAATGGGAGTCGGCATCTGCCTGCACTGTTTTAATCTAATTAATTTTTTTTACAAAGAAAGAAAACCATTTCAAAGTCAAAACATTTGGAAGCCATTGAAAAAAATCTCAAAAGTACAGAGCATTTTAGGAGAAATGGAATAAATCTGACTGTATTCACTATTGATGGAACATAACTCTGTCATTGCACCAGGAGTGCCCACATGGGGCGACATTTATAGCCTTTAGGTGGCGTTGCAAACACAAAAGCAATAACAGAATTTCATATAAATAAATAAATGAAAAGAATGTTGTAACGCACTGTCTTCATAACCCCCATTGTATAAACAGGTTTTTGTGTTGCTTCTTTATAAAATACTGATGCAGATGCACACATTCAAACTGCTAGGTGTGGAGGGGAAAGAACAGTCAAGCAGAATTATCACAGACCAATACAGAAGGAGCTGTGAAACACCGCAGATAGAAACTGTAGGAAGCTGATGATCAATCTAACATTTTCTCTGCAGTCTGAGCCACATCTGCCGGTGTGAGCCGTCTATTGACACACAGACCGCAGACCTGTCCCCTTGGAACCTGTTTGTGGTTTTCTCACTTCTGACTGAAAGTCTCTGTGGCTCTTGTCATTTATTTCTCTCCGTTTTAGGCTTTCTTCACACTTCCCTCCGCACGAAACCACTAATTAACTTTTCTCCCTCGTGAACTTCATTAAAAAGTCCTTCATCCATTTCAAATAGGCTGTAACTTGCTCACTAGATCAATCTCATCGACTTTTCTGTTTTTTGCTCAGTCCGCAGTGACGCCAAGAGGACAAAGCCGCCGGTGATGACTTTCAGTTGTGTTATGAATGTGATGAAGTCGGATGACTTCTGTTCTGCTCTGACTTTTTTTTTTTTGAGAAAACTAATCAGCGCACAATCTTGCAAAGTCAGAAAATCTGTTGGACATTAGCTCCGACCTCCACAATGCACTTTGAGAGGGCCAGGCACAAACTGACTAATCAAAACTAACACTACAGATCAGCCTGATCACACGCTCCCTATGGTGAAACATGGTGATAACAGCATCATGCTGTGGGAATGTTTTGATATCATTAATAATTTCTTCAAACCATGTAACATTTATAATTATAGAACTTGTTCCGGACTATTATCACAGGGCTCATTCTGGCTGATCAATCCTGAGTCTGTGTTGACTTATGCAAATCCATACAATAATATGGATTAGCATTAAATTATCACAGTTTGAAAAGCTTGAGTGAAAATGCCACAGTTTCACTGTAATATTTTGTCTTTATTATTGAATAACATAATCAAATGGCTGTTAGTTCAAACAGAAAACATTATTAATCCTGCTACTAATACAGTATGTTAGGTATAGTTAACACTTTATAATAATGAATTGAAAACAAAATCAACCATATATGTCACGCTAAGTTTTTGTTGGGCGATAAATTGTCCCAGCAATTATCACGATAAACGATAAAGTTGTTTTCATGTAATGTATTGACAATGGAATAGTAACGCAAATTTGCTCTCTCAAAAAGCAATAATCTTTACTTTTGTTAACTCTCTACACTAGAACTGGAAGATATTTTAAATATCCAAAGTAAAACACTGCAAGAAAAACAATTAATAAAATGGGGGGGAAACCAGAAATAAAATGGATTATGATGTCTCTTAATAAAATTGCACTTCAAAAAAGATTAATCATCAGAATGGAAAATGAGCTAATTCTCATTTATCATGTGATTAATTGATTCATTGGTTATTGCGACAGGCTTAGTGAAAACCATTCTAGTAAGAGCTGGTATAGTATCGTTAACATTTATGTAGTTTTGGTTTTATACATGGTACCCAACAGTAATTTTCAAATCCTTTTGTCTTTCAGCCTTGTTATTCAGTCTTAGGCTCCACTTTAAAGCCTTTCTTCATGTTTACCTCTTCCACTGTATCTTTCCCTTTGGCATACCACAATAATGATTACACCAGAAAATCAAATCTGGGCTTGGGTAGGAGGCCGGTGAGTCCAATTTAAGGTTAAAAGGTGGGGTCAACCTACAACTTTCCATCCCTGGATGCATTCTGCAGGCACTTAGTTCGACTCAGGAAGTTATTTTAGGGTAAGGCTTTTAGTTAACACTCCAGTGCTCCAGGGCTAAGTCAAAGCACCTCTGACCTTGGTTGTTTGTGCCAAGTGTGCCTTCCCTATTTGGAGCTTTTTCGAATCCCGCTGGGACTTCTTTTAATAGGGTCTTGGGAAAGCACACAGAAGACAAGTCAGATCCTTTACAAACCAAAGGGAAAGGTATTTTTGATGTTTTTATTCTGTGGGCTCTGTAAGACTGTGTTTAATCAGCTCCAAATACATTTTTACAATGTTCAGTTTCAGGTTATATGTCTAGCGTTCCCCAGGGTTCTTTGAAACCGTTACTTTTTAATGCAGTTTCCAAATACTGGATGCATGCTGCCAAAGGGGCTCTCAGTAGAGATATATATTCATAGAGATATGTATTATATTCATTTTGTTAGAAATGTGACATGACACAAACACAAACTCCAAGTAAAAAATCATTAAACCTTTACACATCCCTTTCTCTTACATGCATTTCTGCTACGGAGGCTTACGCTGTGCAACCAACAAGAAGGAAAGTCCCCTTCATGTCATTGTCTAATCAGATTTAGGTCTCCACAGCTTGAGTAATACCCACCCACACGCTGTGAATACATATACTAAACCCTGATAGTTCAGCTGCCATCTTTATGACACAGTTATGAAGGGGGGGAAAAACCCACAAACCAATAGATAAGAAATAGTCCCATGGATCCCCAACAAGGACAAGACTGTAAATTGTTGTTTTATTCCGAGAAAATGTTGGCCATGGTGCTGATACCAGACCTGGTATGGGTTTTTGTAATCTATTATGCCTCAGGCAGTATCCACCGTCAGACCTTGGAGGACAATGGCAATCAAACCCTTACATCGGTTTAGGGTGTCCTTGTCAATGTGATGTTCAGCGTTGTCGATGAAAGAGACCAGTAACTGTAACTGTTCCAGTCAATCCTTCTTCCTAAAGTGAAAGGTCTGGCATAAAGTAAATGACGAAACATACAATTTATTTATTTATTTTTTTTTTTTGATGGACCACCTCTGAGTTTTTGTTCCCTTTTATGGGTAGGATGTTTGTGGATCACTGCGGCAGAGTTTACAACCACACAGAGACCAAAGTGGCAGAGTGGAGAGGTTGTTTTGTTGCGCCTTTTTTCATCATATCATAAGAGAGGTCTTACAAATTGGGTCCGGAGATGTCCTTGATTAAGTCAATTAGTCCATTAGAACAACAAATGGCACAAGTGAGAATTCAAACAGAACAGTGGGATCCAATTATTCTATTAGCTCGACTCTCCCACAGGAGAAGTGATAAAGTCACTTAGGGTTGTGCTAACAGACTGCATCAGCACAAACACTGAACTGAACAGACTTGATGAGGACTGAGACTTGCTTCGCTACCACTCTACATATGCTGCTGAGCAGATTCTCCATTGTGTTGTGGTACTTTAAAAAGAAGAGCATTCATGGGCTGTTAACTAATACAAATGTCTTCTTGAAGTAGCACAGGCAGTGAAAACATGCTGTGCTTGAGGATTACACAAGTGGTGACAGTACACACTAGTAAGGCATAACGTTATAAACACTGAACAACTAGTGACTGGATATTTTGTCCTCAATGTTGATGTGTTGGAAGCAGCAAAAATAAGCAAGTGAAAGGATTTTCGTGATATTGTCAAAGGTCAGTTTGTGACGGTTGGTCGTCTGGGTCAAGTCATATTCGAAACAACAGCACAAATGTCAGTACCTACCAAAAATGATATGTAAGGAACAATGGTGAAGTAGTGACATGGTTGTGGTTGGCAAAGGTTAAATAATGTATGTCTTGGGGTGAGTCCCAACCAACAGATAAGATGTAATACCTCAAACTGCTTAAGACCAAACCAATGCCAGCCAATGTCTGATGAGTAGCTCAAGCCTCCACTATGAAAAGCAGCCAAACCAGTGGATGCTGTGGGACAATATTCACCTGGAAAACTATGGATTCTGCCCTCAATTTGGATGCTTTACTTTACCGTTTACAAATGCCTGAGTATCGCTACAGAAGCAGGTACAATCTTATTCTGTGACAACTTGTATTCTGGTATTTCAGTAAATTAGAGATTTTATTCCTAACCAAAAAGACTTGTTAGTCAGTTTATAAGTATGTTTTGAAAATAACTTTTAAGCACACGTTAAGCATATATTTTATCAGGCCCACATTTTTGTGTTATTGGTACGATGTAGCGTTTTGACCCTAATCTTATGTTTTCATTAGTTGTAAGAAGAAAATCATGGAAATTATCACAGAAGGCTTGAAAACATTCATATGTGTGTAATTAATCTATATAATGTGCTTCAATGTATGACATACACTGTTCAGTAATATTCTTATGAAATGGGTTTTCATATAGTATGTACACAGGAATCCTTGCATTTAGCTTTTAAATTGTTGCTCATCTGTTGGAAACTTAATTTGGTTTCAATTCCCTCTTCGCTCCACCTTAACTCCTTTCCTCATTTCATCTGGAGCGAGAGGAGCGCTTATTGTGAACAAGGGCCACGTCTATTTCACACCTAAATGTGCAGAACCAGAGAGCAAATGCCTTTGGTGCTCGTATCTGCTTTGGATGTATTGATCTCGGTTTAGCAAGAGAATGTTTACAGCCTGTAGAAGAAATATGATAAGAGCTGTGGAAAACTATGCACATTTTTTAAAAAGAGAATATTCCAATTTATCTATTTGTAAAGCAGAAAGCTGGATTAGTGTTGATTGCTGATGAATAATTGTGTGACCTTAAGCTTTAACAGTGGTAAATCAAGGATGAGTAGTAAAGAAAAAAAAGACCCCGTATTGCTGCGGTGTTGAAGTAGAGTGCAAGAAAAGTTGGATACGCTCATGTTGAGGCGGCTACACAGGATAGATGAATGGGTGTAAAAATGGATTCTGGACATAGCCCATTGACCAGAGAGAGGAACAGAAGTGGGATTAGGAAGCTCTCCGTTACCTGACTCTGCCTTTTGAGAAATCAGAGAGATGCTGCGAACCTGAGGTAGAAATCTTCGAGCAGAACTGGAGAAATAACCCCCGTCATAGACTTGGATACAGATTCAGTTTGCACCCACCAGAAATGAAGGGGATGATGAATGTTTAAGTGCCTGGCGCTCCAGGAGCTGGAATTTTACAGGCGATCAGCACCGCCTTAAATTGGACCAGACAGTCACCAGGGAGCGACCGATCTCTGGAGGAAGGAATCTAGGCTGCACACGCCGAACACCAGATACATTGTTTTTGTTGTACAACAGTTGCTCTGCCGATCTCAAGTAGTTTCCCAAAGTTGAGAGTCAAGGCAGTTATTATTAATTAAAGCTTTCTTTATATATTATATATATATATATATATATATCCTAGAGAATGGAGAAGTATTCGTGTGAGAAATGGTTTGCCTTTTTGCAGATTTCTTCTGTTTTTGCTTTCTTGACACTCTAAACTGTTAAGGATGATCGAAAGTAAATTTAATATCAGACAAAGACAACATGAGTGAATGAAAGCAGTTTTTGGAATGATGAATTTAGTTACGGAGAAGAAAAAGATATTTAAAATCAACTTGGCACTAGTTGAAAATGTTTTGCCCTCTTCTTGTGAAGTATGACTTAGTATGTTTTTGGTAAAATTTGACCAGTCACACACAGATCTGGTTACTACTTAATCACTAAAGTACAACCTGTGTGACAACACAAAGTAGGATAAAATATCTCAAGAAGCAACATGCCATACCATTTTTGTTATGATTTATTTTGTCATACTCCAGTGTAAAGGAATTCAAGTCATTGACGTCTACAAGTCAAGTAAGAGTTCAGTAAGGGTTTGAGACTCCAGTGGATCGCAGTGTGAACCGTAAGAAATTATCCACAAATGGATAACATATGGAATAAATATATCAAGAGTGGAACCCATAACTCAAAAGAACCAGGAAAACATTGAAACTACTGCCAGCTCATTGGTCGTCATTCAACAATAAGGAGGAGTCTGGGCAAAAATGGAATGGGGTTGAATGATAGGAAAATAATCTCTGGTCTGAGAAGGACTATCAGTTCTCACATGAACTAAGTGATCATGTATCACACGCTCCTTATCAGAAATTGGGTTAAACTGAACAGCATTATGCTATCCACCATTGTTTCAGTTGTTATCTGCCTGTACACGCCTACAATAAACCCTGGAGCTTTTACATCTGTGGAGGACTTTACACCTCATTTAAAATGTTTTGTTTAAAAGTAACAAAGAAACTAAAACAGACAAAATCTGTATGGGGAAATACTTCTTCACGAGAGAACACACCACTCTGAAAGTGAATTTTGTGTTAATGATTTTTATTTTTTTAATAAAGAGCTAATGTAAAGCCAGCTGCTATGGTGTTGTTAAAGAAGATAAAAAGCCATTTACAGACCAGCCAGAGGGGGGGAAAAAATATATTCAGGTATTCAGATAACATCTGACTCATTTGCTGTTTCATTGCTGCCGCCGACAGAGAGCGAGTTATTTTTAACTTCATTGTTTGCTCGATATAAAAGTTAAGTCATTAAAAACCGAATTACATAAGAGGAGGATAAATAGGACGCGCAACGACCTTCGGCGAGCCTGTGGTCGTGGATGTGTCTTTTCTTCGCCGCTGAAGCAGCTCCGCTGCATTTCCATCTTTATTTCTTCAGCAGAATACGATCGAAGCATGTTCACAGAGTATACGTATAATAAGCTCAGATCGACATGTCTGCTTTCTTTTTTTATTATTATTAATCCTTTCATAAGGCATCCTAACTCGGCGTTTGGACCCTGGAAGTAAAAACTATATTGACACGTTAATTCCTGCTTGTTCCCTTCACTCTCACTTACGTCTCCCATGTTGTGTTATGTTGTCACGTTTCGCCTCCATCTCCTCCCCTTTACCTCTCCTCCATCCTCCGTTCGCCTGATCCTCCACAAACAGGGAACATGTCTCCGCTTTCAGACAAAATTATGCCCATGCATGCTGAAGCTGACACCTTCCTTCGGTGCCTCTGTTCTTTTCCTCGGGTGATGAAGTATTAACAATAACATTTCTGTTTTTATTTAATTGCATGTCTGCTTGTTCCCCCCCCCCATGCAAACCCCCATCCCTTAAGATTCTAACTGGTTTGTGTGGTCTGGATGCAAGGCTGTTGTGTGGTGTGTGTGTGTGTGTGTGTGTGTGTGTGAGATTTTTTTAGGCGTTTGGGGGTCAGAGATATTTTTACAATACCCGGCAGGCACCGGAGAGGCATGAGAGAATCTGGAGTGTCGGGATGCAGCAACACCATGAGTAATTCATGTGTTTTGCATTCCTACCAATAGAGATTCGGTTGCCCTTTATATGCCCCGTTTCTTGAAATTCCATCCCACCAGCATTCCTGACAGTAGCACAGCGGCAGGAAGTTTTTCACATTGTGCATTGATTAGCAGACATGGATGCCTGGAGGGAGATCGTTTGTTTACTTTTTACCTTGTATGTAGGCTAGGTCAGGGATTGCGTAATATTAAAAAAATAAAAATAAAAAAACCTTTTTTTTGCTTGTTTGTGTATTTCTGCATGGAAATGTGTGCGGAGGAAAAAAAAAACAAAACAAAAAACGATGTAGCCCAGCTGCGTTACCTTGGGTGATTCATCGATCTGTGATATGGCAGAGTCCGCCTCATTCGGAGGAACACGGAGCCAGAGAAGCACCTCCGACAAAAAATGTGCAATTAATGTGCAAACGGAGAACGATGCAGCAGAAAAAGTGTGATGTTGAGGGAAAGGAGGCCGATCCAAATGTACTGGGAACTCAACCTGCATTAGAAAACTGACAGACTGACACATGACTACATGATTATTCATAGTCTTCTCAAGTCCTCACCTCCTACGAGAAGGCCCTTTCTTTCACACAACATCCTGCTGCTCTGGGTAAATCATTCGGGCTGCCGAGACATGATTATCC